TATATATGTTGCTCTCATTATTTATTGAGATTGTTGTGAGCCATTGAGCTGTTAGGGTGTGTGGATTCACGTTTCTGCTTTGAGGTATCACTTAGGGCATAGGTTGAATCACATTCATAATGAGGTATCAGTTAGAACATATGGATTTACATTCATAGTTTGCACATGGATAAGGATACATAGGGTTGCCCTCCCATTTCTTTGTTGGGGACGTTCACGCAAGTTTGTGAGAGAGTGATAGATTTCAGGTTTGTTATGATACCATTTGATGAGTCCGGGCATAAAAGTAGAAGCTTTATCTATTTTAATTGAAACCCATGCTTATTCATGTACTAGTAGGTGTTGCACGTGCTACGCACGGGCCCAACATAGTAAAGTTGTAGTAAACAGAGCTTCGCAGGAAATCATTGAGCTAGTAAGCCGCAAAATTACAGGGTCTAAAGAGTTTTGGAAGGGAGTTATTTCCAAAAGAATTTTCAAACCAAGTACAACACCCAATTAAAAAAGGAAGCACAACACCAAACCATAAGAAAACACATCAACCCTAGACAATCTGCAACCAAGAAAGAATCGAAAAAAGAAGTGAGAGATGCTTAAAGAAGCAGTCGGTAGCATTCTTCTGTTTTAACACTCTATCAATCTCATCTCTTGGATGTCGCTAATTGTTGTTGTTTGTCCAACAAACCAGTCTCACATTACTCCCTATAAGAATGAATGATTTCCACAAAAATCAAAGTAGTCGAGTTTCCACATGCATCAAAAACATGGCAACTCAAACTATAGAGAACAAAAGGAACATTAATATAAAGAATCTTACAACTTTGATTAGTACGATTTTTAGAAATCAGAATTTCTAGACAAATTTGAAGTTAAAAGAACTATTTGATTGCCTAATGAACCTTGGTGAATATCAAATGACTCAATTGTAACCTACATACATCAAAGATTAGAAGCTACCTATATAGATTGTGGATGCTTCTATTCTATAGCAGATATTACATCTGCTAGAGCTGAAAGTAACCTGTCAATGTTCTAAGCTTCCTGAACCATAGCAGAAGACTTCTATGTACCATGATTGTGCATAATACGACACTTTTATGTACAATACTGCAATATATATATATATATATATATATATATATATATATTATACGTCTCTAAAGTTATTCAGTTCAATCATATATAGTTAAATAGTATAGATATAATACCCAAAGATGTAGTAAATGTATGCATTTTCAAGCGCATTACAAATACATCTTACTTTTTCATTTGCTACGACGCAAACTATCCACCCAGCTTTGTAGCCAACCTTTGCCTTTCTAACACAGCAACATATTAGAAGTTTTATTACAGTACCTTCAAAAAGAACATAACCATACGGGAATGTGAGATTGTCATCATATGAGTTTGTTGGTGCAGTATATGAAATCATTGACTATAATCTCCACGTTTCAAGTCTTTACCGGGGTCAATTCTGTGAAAATTATACTCATTCGATAGCTATATTGAAATGCATATACCATGCTGTTGTAATTTATGAAATATAAATATAGCACATAAATTCACATACCAATGAGTACAAATTTAAAGACCATTGGAACTATAATATAAGGAAGTCAATCCATATAGTGTTGTCTGCCTATGAGTACCAATTAGTCCCCAACTTAAAATAACAGTGCATCCAGAGGTCCTTACACCAGTCATCTACTGCAATGTTGTAACCTATAATATTTTTCCTTCTCTAAATTTTTATAAGAAAATTTTATATCATTCTCCAGGCAATTTGTCTAGAATAAACCTCTACTAACCATTTTATTTAACAATAAGATGAAAAACAAAAGTATTGACAGTTCAAGAACTCAATCTTTAGAAATGAATATAATGCAATGATTAAGAAATTGGGTGCTACAAAAATTGAGTTTTAACTTCGTCATCCAGAAATGAGTGCAGGTCTTTAATGTGTTAAGAAAAGCAAGAGTCATATCATAACCTTAAGAAACGAAATAAAAAGATACATGTGGATGACATTTCCATGTGAATATATGCAAAGTTGTGTTGCCCTTCTTGCCACGCTTAATCAATATTAGTTGTCCGTATCTAGAATTTCCTCGATCACAAAACTATCCTGACCTTCAAGTCATATGAAGTACAGTTTGACGCTTTTTCTTGATGGATATTATATCTAGATCTTGCTCGTTAAGCGCTTTTAGAATATGTAAGGACACACACTTGGCAGTTGTGTTTAATGCATTTTTTCCATTCTTCCTAACAATTTATATGGAGCTCACAGCTGCATTTATGCAACTACTCAAAATACAAGCCCTCTTTATTTAGCTAGTGTACATGGATATTTAGATATGGTGAAGCCAATTTACTTTATAAAGTCTAGGCCACATGGCCAAATTTCCTTACAATGCCTGTAAATGACATCATATGCTTTATACTGTCAAACATCGAAAATACAGAAAAATTGGGATTGGTAGACACTCTTTTATCTCTTTTAATCCAAAAAACCAGTATCCTCACCAAAATCATATATCTAAAGCCCACAATTCAAAGTTCAAATGCTCCAGAAAAGAAAAAAATGTCTTTGCTTCCATAAATAAATCACATGTCTATATGTAAAGACCAAAAGACCTAAGTCTATTTGTATTAGTAAGTGTTTTAGTTGACATGTGTTATTAACCATGAAAATTTCTACAATGCCAAACCACCTCAAATTTTGACCTCTAGCTACAACATTATTAACAAAAATTACAATATAAGCTACCCAAATTACCTTTTGGAGTAAAAGCATGACTATTGTCTTCAGGAAAAAGTTTCTATTGCAAAAGTAAAACGTTAAAGGATCTTCATCAATAAGAGTGCATTTGAAATTTTAGTGGCATTAACTTTAAGATCGACGATTCGTAAGAACTGTTCTTCTGTAAGATTACTCCATATGAATAAGCTTTTGTAAGCATAGTAAAGTTAACAAGATCATAAAAGAAGTTCTAAAAAACTAATAAGGCATCTTTTTGTTAGAAGAAAAAGAAGTTAGAAGTTGTATTAGGTTTCATCAGGGCAACAAATATATAGACTCAAATACCAATTTAAGGAAGTAAGTCTAGCCGTTCTAGAAATTGTTACAAGAAGCGAGTGATGGTATAAAAATTGATCAATCATAAGAAGATAAAATATGAAGTGGATACTTCCTTAGTTCATTCTGCAGTGTGCCTCATCTTAAAAGGATACACAACGACAATTCAAAAATGATTCTTCAGCTTCATATCATAGAGAATTGGTTGAATCAAAATATTGTTAATTAGCTCCAGTTTCTAATAGATATAGGCAAGTTCATGTCCTGATCGAACTTCTACATGATAGTAGCAAATTTGCGGCATATGCAGGATATAAATCAGGTAAACTTATCGTATTCATCGGCCATTTCCCCAATACTTTAAAAGTTTCTAAATAATCAAATGATAAATCTAGAACCAATTTCTGACCCAAAAGAAGCAAAGGAAACACAAAAGGCACATTTTTTAGTAATTACACATAAAATACTAACCTTTCCTTCAGATTTAGTAGAGAACTTAAGATAACTACATTTTAGGAAAAAAATTCTAAATCGTAGTTGAGGTAAGAAAAGGCATTTACCTGTTTTTTCTTTAAAATTGGAGTAACAAATAGGATGCTTACGATTTTCATACATGCGCGGACAGCAAAGATCTGAGCCGTACAAACAGCATCCTGGAATAAATTAATTGACATAAATAGAACTCAATACCATAACAATTTCATCTTCATCCTTTCCATTTTTTTTTTGGCCGTATTGAAACCCTAATATGACGGAGAAGAAAACAGCACAAAATAACAGCTTATTCGGCAAAGAAGGGATGAGAGTTAACCTACCTCTCAGCCAACACAAAATCAATTGTAGCTTACTTACCAGTTGAAGGAGACAATAAATACAAAATCATCTAAATAATAGAAATCGACATCTATTGAAGAGGGAAAAAGAATAAATGTTTACCGAAAAAATCGAATTTGGGCATCTATTTCCAAACCAAACCTTTATAAAAATTGATACTATCATCGATATGCATGTAGAAATCCAACAACAAACTATTCAAAAGAACATACAAATTTAACATATTTTCAGTAAGGTGCCATCATCAATAACCGGGTGTGTTAAACAAAGATAAGAAAGCAGAAAACTCACTGATTGAGAAGTAAGGAAATTAGCATAGACAACTTGGAACCGAGTGGAGAAATCTGAACGACAACGAATTCAAGGTCTCTGAGGAGTAATAGAAAGGAAGAAGATGATTAGTGATAATAGGAGGAGTTTCTGGATTGTACTATTAGAGTTAGCAGTAGAGAAATAATTATGAATTAATTAAAAGTGGAATATATAAGTGTTAGAAAGGAAGAAGATGAAAAAGTTCAATTACCAATTTATCCCTAAAGGAGTAATTACTACTGTACTAATTAACGGGGGTAGGTCAAGGGTATAATAGACAAATAGCCATGTAGATGTCGTGTTCGACGAACTCTGTTCGTCCTACCTCACTCCCGTTTCTATATAATAGAAATTTTTAATGCTTTGTTGCGCATGTCTTCTATACACGTTGATTCTATGCTTTTGTTGTATGCTTGGACTTGATTAGTCAAGTTAGAGATAACTTGTATATCATGCTCTATCTGTGTATATCTTTAAATGCTATTTTCTGTGCCTTTCTTTCCTTGTAATAGTTTTACATATGAATTGTACATGTAATATAAAATGAGTATTTTTTTGTCAAAACCTCATCACTACTTTAGTGGAGTTAGACTACTTACTGAATACACATTAATTTTTATACTCATATTATACTTCTATATATTTTTATCTGATACCTAGGAGAGCTCAGTAGCTGGTTATCTTTGGAGACTCGAAGTAAACTGCTTGTTTATCCGCAACACCTTAGAATCATTTTCATGGTGTATTTATGAGACTTATGTAAAATATATGATATTCTTTAAAACTCATGACATTGTGACATCAGCTCCTAGGGGTAATTATATTATTTTCGCACTTATGTATCAGTTTTAGACTTATGTTATGTATTAGCCCTGTTTATGATTTATGTTAACTCTTATTTTGTTATATTTGAGTTTTATTTTATGTTGGTTCGTCTAATAAGTTAAATTAGGTGGCACCACGGTCCCAATGAAATTTTGGGCCGTAACATTTACTGACTAGTGGACTTGCTTTCAGCGTGGAAATTGAGTGCGGCGCAAAATAAAAGCAAGCCGTCACCCACCAATCTCAAGTTCAGAGTTGATCCAAGGATCAAATGTAGAGCAATTTACGCAGCTATGGATTTATTGCAAGAGGACGTGTTTTTGTATTTTTTATTTTGTTTCGGCTCCGATACACCCGAGATCTCTGGTTAAAAATAAATAAATACTTATCACTCCATCACAATTATTGTTGGTAAGAGGATATAATATTTAACACTATGCGATGCATTAAATGAAGTTGAAATTGATTGTTCTTTTGCTGCAATCGATTGTAATAATGAATACATACAATTACTATGTATGAGTCCCAAATAAATTGGGATCAAATATAAGAATCCTTATATACTCGTTATTTTTGTTATTGTAATCTTTTCAAATATAAAAGAAAGTATTTCTTCATAAATATCCAAAATTCCTAGCTATGGTTTTAATACATCTCCAGTTTTCTAATCATTGATCAACCAGATCTTCTTAGTTGCTTTTTCTCAAATTAAGTTATCCGGTAAAGCCTACATTCTTGCATTTGACTAAAATAAGTAGCTTAAACGGGAAACTATCAACTTTTAATAGTAATCTAAGATAGCATTGATAAATAGTGGAAAGAATATGAAGGAGCAGATCCCACCCATTCTATTGTGATCAATAGTAAAAAATGTGTTCAGAAATAAAATGTGTCTTTAATAATTTAAATTTTTTGATTTGATGGTCACACACCTAACATTTAAAATAAAATAATTCTTATCTTTTTTATGATATGGTTGTCAAGTTTAAACAACTAAGATTATAGCCTCGTCACTAGTACAGCACGAGTATAATTACCACTCTACTTTCTTGGTTGTGATTGTAAGTATGTTCTTTATTAAATATTAAAACACCTAAGGACGTCTTTTAAACAAATTCCTATCAATAATTCTTGAAAATCTTTTGTCTAGATTATTAAGTACGTATCAATTTGGTTCCAAATACAATAAGTATAGTCATTATTGTGGGTGTTAGCCTTTCTTTTGCTTCTAACTCCAGCCAACACCACTAATAATGATGTACATAAGCAAGCCAATATATATATCGCAACTCCGTTGAACTTAGTGTTTAACCAAAGAATTTGATTCTCAGTCAAAGCCTATTTTTAGAAGTACTCGGGTTACTAATAATCAAGAAATTCAATATTCTCTCAGAAATAAGAAAGGAAATTAGAATAAGAAATGACAAAATAATCGATTGAGAGCACAAGAAAGTAGTTATATTCCAATAATAATCAGAGCCTGTCTTTACAAGTGAAATTCCCTTCCCTTATATAGGGATTTACAAATATAACGTTCCTTCCCTTTTATGACCGAATCATTATGAGCATTAATGACATTAATGAAACGTTATAATTAGCAACCGTAATTGTTCATGAAGATTCTGTAACGGTTGTGATTCTTCTTCCATATTAATTAGAGGTTCATGAATCTTTCCTCTTTACTGTCTTGATTCATTATGCTTGTGTCTATTCACTCAGTAATTTAGGCTCGAGCAACCGTACCCTTTCGTCTCGTGACCTGTTGTAAATTATGAATCTTTTAATGCGACACTCCAGTTGTCATCTTCTTAGTGATCTACGTATCTTGTCCTGTCATCCTCATATAATTTCACGTATACATTTATTTTTTACCAATACAGATACTCCCCCTACTTGCCGAATATTCTGCAATTGAATATTTGGGAAGTGGCACGTATTTATGGCGGGAAGTTTTTGCCGCCGTTTCCCATGTATCATTGCGTCTTCTTTAGAACCATCGCTTTGCATGTCACTTTCATTTAATGTATGTGCTACGTGGCCTTCGTCGATTGGGTCTGCGACTCTTCAGCGGTTTTTAAAGCTTTCTTGCAACTGCGTCAGTCATTTTTAGTTTCACAAAACCTTCAATCTACATTGTTCTTCTTCTTTAATCGCTCTTGTTCTTCAGCGCGCATTATTTTCTTGTATGACCATGTCTTCATCAAACCCTAATCCTTGCATAGTAGTAATTGTAGATGAACTTCCCCCTTCAATGGCTCTTGTTAGGAGTAGAAGAGGCGGTAGGTTGCGTAGCTTAGGATCTTTATTTGTTCGTGGTTCTACTTCTCAACCCAACGTTGCTACCCCTCCTTCTTCTAGAACTAGAGCTTCTTCAACTCATAGATCTTTTGCCAGAAATATGGAGTCTCGTGAACCCACTATTGATGAGATTATTCCCGTTGAACTTTTCTTTTTTACTGATAGAGAATCGATTAGAAATCAAGTTACTTCCATGACTTCTCTTGATTGTGCTGATGTTTATCCTTCACAGATTTCTGAGGGCTTGATTTCTCTTGTGCGAAAAGAATGTCATTGAAAATTTAATTTTCCAATTTTAGTCCCTAATGCAAATCAAAGGATCACTTCATACAAAGCTGATTGTTCTTTTGTTTATACATATCCCTTTACATTAGGCTTCAGACCACCTATCGACCCAGTCATCATAGAATTTTGTTATTTTTTCAACGTTTGCTTAGGACAGATTGGCCCTATTGTATGGAGAGTTGTGGCATGCTTGAGACACTTGTCAAACTTGGCCTCTTTACCCTTTACCTTATATCATTTAATTCATCTTTATTCCCCCAAGTTATTTCGTTCTGGGGTTTTTACTCTCGTGGCCAGGAGTAAAAGAGTTTTAGTGAGCCCTGAAGATGACAAAGATCGTGGTTGGTATGCTTGATTCGTTGTTGCTCCCACAAGTGGGTTAGTGGGTGAAAAGAACATGCCTTTTCCAGAAAAGTGGAACTTTGCACGTAAGTTTCTTTTCAGATTTGTTCCTTCTCTTCTTTTATTTTTTCTATGTGAAGAACCTGCAATCTCGTGACTGTTTTTCTTTTCCTCTTTTTTTTTAGCAACCATGGAAGTTGTTGAGGAGATTCCAAACTTCCGTGGTTGGGTAGAAACATTGTTAATTGTTGCTCCTATGAAAGAAAGGTCCTGGAAGTACCTTTCTAATAGGTTTGGTTGGAAAGTGAAGACTCACGGTATCTTTCTCTTCTACTTTCTAACTTACTTCCATAAAATATTTACTAACTCCTCTCTTTACTAGGATTTCCCATTCGAGGTGTGAGTGCCGCATCTATTGCCGCTTCGATATTCTCTCTATCGATGGCTCAAGAGATGATCTTGAGTTCCTCATCAAAAAGAAAAGCTGATAGAGCACACAGTTCCGAGGGTGAAGAGGAACGGGATAAAGGCTCGTTAGTTCGTAAGCCTCGAGCTAGGAGACGTGTCATTTCGGATGACAAAGCTACTCCTCCTCCCAGTTCTGTTCCCATGCACGAGTCCAAAGGTGCTACCTTAGTGAGATCTGATGAAGAGATACATGTTGTACCCCGTGACTCTACTAAATAGCTCTTTTCTCGTGGGTTTGATAATGAAGACTTCGGCTTTATTTCTGAGGAAACGCCCCATGCCTCTTTTTCTGTATCTGTTCCAGTTGATCCTCAGTTCCCCACACCTGTTGCTGCTACCACTGCTTCGCACGTGGCTATTTTGACTCCCTCAACTACCCCTACTGTTACAACTTCTCATGTTGAAGTTGGTTCTTCCAGTAACAGTAGGGTAATGAAAAGAGTTACCATCGAGGTTCCTGAGGATGGTAATCTTCTGAAGAAATCTGGCCAAGCTGATGTATGGCTGAAACCATTGATTGGCCCAGTTGAGAAGTCCAATTTGGAAAACCAAATTTCTTTAACATCGATGAATGATATTGTACATTCATCTTTAAAGGTATAAGCCTTAGCTTTTTATTTTGCATGTGATTTCCTTTTCATATAAATTTGACAATCACATTTTCCTTTTCATTGTGTAGATCAATCTGATTAGTACGGAGATGATGAAGAGGATCGTTCATACTGAGAAGCTAATGAATGACTATCGCATCGAAGTGGATAACTGGAAGGAACAGTTCGAAGGTCTTCAACTTGAGAAAGAAATCTTAGAGGAAGAAAAGTGTACCTTGGAGCAGCAAGTGAAGATAACGTCGGTAGAGTTGGCAGTTGAGAAAGCCTCATCCAGTCAAGCGGGCAAAGATAAAGACCTT